CTAGAACCCAGATCATCTGAGTCCCAGTCCCATGCTCCTAACCACTACGCCACACTGGCTCTCACTGGCACAATATAGCATAAATAATGCATGCAGGACTCATCTTGATCTTTCTACCACAGCTGGGACAGGTTCTGTCCTTGCTTTGGTCTATTAGACATGTGGGTCCTAATCTCCTCCAGGACTTTGACATTTCAAGGCTAGCACCTTAAAATTATTCTGGAAGTATATGAGTGCCCATTGAGATCAATGTAGATCATAATGAAATAACTCGGGGGAAGGTTACATAGACAAGTTAAAACTTTTCATTGTCTAAACAAAAACAAATTCTTTTAATGGTTTACTAAGAAATACAGTTTAGTGTTTTGCAAACCATATCAATAAAAAGTCAAATACAAGCCAGGTCATAGTTAAACATTTTGAGCTACTTGCTAAAACGAGTGTTGTGACTACTGATTTTTGTTTCGTGATGTAATGTGGAAAGTATTTGAAGGGCATATTTGTATAAATAGCATGTCTTTGTTTGAAAAAATCAAACCTCGTCCTATTTATAACAGTGTTATAAAAAAACAAAGGTGCCTGTGCCTCTCTTGTCATTAATAATTAGTCATCTCAGTAGAGCTCCAAGAAAACATTTATTTATTAATTAAAAGCTTTTCTATCCTGTTCCCTACAGAACGTCTCGGGGTGGCAAAACCCCCCTCGCCCAATCCAGGAACAGTAACAGTCGGTTCTCCTCTTAAAAGCAGTCTAAAAACAAATTTATAAATAAAATCTTAATATATACATAAACAATTATTGTCCTTAGACCTAATTAGAAATGGACTGGGGGCATTTGTTCTGTTAAAAGGCATCAGAGCTCGTAATACTCAGAGCACAGTTCTCTTTGGTCCTTTAGGGCTGCCCTGGGGCCTGAGAAGGGGTTGAAGGATACTGGGGGAGAGGTGCAATGCATTCTGGGTCAAGCTGATGAGTGGTGAGGGAACAGAGGAACTGAGACTAGGAAAAAAAGGAATGAGAGTGGATCATTCAAAGAAAATCATAGCTAGTAACTGCTGCCTCCTACCCTCATGAGCAGAAGCTCCACCACCAGGATGTCTGAGTGATGGACCATGATCCCTACATTTGTACCCCAGGACTGAAGAGGCACAAGTAGGTTTGAGCAACGTCAGATGCTCACCTGCTTCTAGCTTGGTGACTGGGTAGATTTGAGAGATTGGTAGATGTGAGTGGTGTCAGATGCTGACCTCTAATTTAAAAGTGGCCTTAAACTGTATGCCCATCAGAGTTGTTCCTCTTGCTTCTTTCCCTCTTCCCCCCTCTTTGTATTTTTCATGGGGTGCCCTGGTTGTTCCTCTCATCTCCTTTCAGGAAAGGTTGGGGCTGGAGGCTTTCTTTCCTCTTACCCATCCCACAGTTTTTTGAATACAGGCCCCATCAGTGTCTGCACATCAGTGGATTACCAGGAGGAAAAGTAGATTTACTTAAACATACATATCTTTGTAAATGGATAAGTTCCAGTCACACCAAGGAAGATGCAGGTTGCAACAGCGATGTTTGGACCGAGTCATTTAGGGTTGTGTGCAAACTTGAAGTGCCAGCTTGTTGGTGGAAAGACAGTCCAGAGCTCTGCCCCACCCACCCACCCACCCACCCTAAAAAGGAAGAATTGGCAAAAACTGTGCCTGTTTGAATATCAAGGGGAAAACTTAGAAGTATTAATGTGATCCTGTGGTAAAATCTTGATATATGAATCTGAGGCGAATGTGTGGAAAGTTTATCCACATGAACACATTTGTACTTTGTGCATAAGAAAGAGGAGTCGTGTGCAAAAGGATGCATGTCTCCCCATGGAGAGAGACTACTCTGGAACAAGGAAGTAGTTGACTTCAGCTTGTAGATCCAGAAATCCTGGCTGAGCAAAGCTGGACATAGCTCATGGCAATGGAAGATTATGACATCTGATTGCAAAGCAACTATCTTTGAAATAAATCTGGTTGCAATCATGTTACAGGCTTTGCAGCATTGCGGTGATGGACTGACGGACTAACTGCATTATGCATATTCTAAAAACATAGGCTATCATGCTGATCGAGTGAGCAACTGTTAGCCCAAGAGGCCCTTGTGAAGTGATTGGCCACACTCATCCACGGTTACTTTCACTTTGCAGGAAATCATGGACCACAAGTGGCCATATTGGAGTGGCCTTTATTTTGACTTGAATCTGTTTTTACTGTGTGATGATACTGGCCTAAATCTCACACTGGACAAACATCCCTTTGATTCCCTTCCAGCTCCAGCTTCTTACACTGCTCCCATTTTTTTTTTTTGGAGAGTAGGGAGGATCCCCTGCCACTTTTTAAAATTGATGGAAGCATAGATGTTTAAATCTGATTAATTTTCCGATATGTTTTCATGGCTATGAAAACAATAAAAATAGTCATTTGAGATTAGAAAGAGAATAAAATAGATGTGTGTTATGTGATTGATTTTCATCAGCCACCTTTATATTTAGCTTCAGTTGTGTCATACTCCAGTGCAAGGTGTATAACAGCTCCTCTGGGAGGAGGGAGCTCACTCTCCATGTGGATCTAGACCAGTACGTTTATTTACATTGTGAGTGATGCAGACCGTTTCCAACAATAGTGATTATATTTGCTGTAAGGTTAAAAGGATGCTAAATCCAATTCATTCTCATGTTCAACATTTAGAAAATAAGGGCTTTTTCATGGGAAGATAAAAAGTCCACATCCAACAAAACAAAAATCTTCTAGCTTTATATTAATAATGACCTCAATTCAGGTCATTAACTTGGGAATTAATGACCAGTTAAGGTTAATGGCCCAAGGTCTTGAATCATTAAACTCCAAGGAAATGCCCTGTACTTTGATCGTTATTCGTTTATTAGGGATGGATTGTGGTTTAAAAAAATGTGGGTGTCTCAAAACACAAAGATGATCTAATGCTCGCAATGAAAGCAAGCATTGTGTTGCTTTGCGTCTTGCATCTAGGAATAAACTGGTAAGTAAAATAATGAAGGGTACACTCCTAGGCATGTTTACAAAGAAAAAGGGCCTACAACTTCCAGCAAATTCCTCTGACTGTGTTAATACTGGGAGTCATAGGATTTTTTCTGTTCAAAACATACATAGGATTGTACCCTAAGATGTTCATAATATTAGTATCTTTCTATATAAACTGCTTAAAAGAGGGATTAGAAGGTAGAGATCACATTTCACCCATAGGCAGCGAATGAGAAATTTGCATGCCCTGTATGCTTCCATCTGCTAGCATTGCAAGTATTTATTTTTATTTTACCTGTGTGGTAGATTAGACTGAGAATAGGGACTAGCACAAGGTCACCCAGCCAGCTGTGTGAGGGTCTGAAGCTGGGCTTCCCACATTCCAGCTTTTTACAACCGCTTGTTATTGTTTGGTAGCCTTTGATATTGTTTACTGTGTGTGTTAAAATGCATATTTTCAGGAAGTGAACTCTGATGGACACTATATAAATTTATTTGGGTTTTGGAACAGCTCCAACACCATAAATTATGGCTGGAAACCTAAGATGTAGGTCCTAACACAGTAAATAGCAGAATGTGGATTTCAGGGGGGTTCAGCTGTACCCCTTCTTTCTTAAGCTGTGATCGTCACACTTTTAAGAATTTGTGGGCAGCATGAAAATGCCTTAAATCCCTAATATGCCATTTGTGAATGTTGTTGATAAATGCATCTTGCTATTTGTTTCCCCCCACTCCATCCAAGAGTGTTAAGAAGCCCCATTAAAGTGCATAAACCAACATGTGCAATGAGCACAGACCTTTTCTTGCTAACTTAGCTCTCCAAGACTGGCCCAAAAGAAGGGTTTCAAAAATGTTTCAGCCACTGCTTAGGAAACTCAACAGGCCTATGAAGCTCTGTGCAAAATTTGCATCCGTTCCAATATACCTGCATACAAAGATGCAGGACTCACTTCCACTGTTGATACTGGCTCCCTTCACAGTTTCATGGAGTGAAGGGGGCCCCTGACAGTGACAAGACCTCTGGTCCCATCCCGGTGATGCAACTTGGATCTGCTTTCATTGGTGAACACGGTGTTCGTAGAATCACCACCTGTAACTTCCTTTCCTCTCTCACTGTTGTATGATAAGCACTTCCGAAAGGGGCTGCACAATGTGCACACACCTTTTTGCATATCCGCCTAGGACAGATGCAAGACGCAAGGCCTGCAGTTTTTCAAGGATGCCTTGCAAACATCTCAAAGCTTTTCCTGACTAATGTACCCTATTTAAAGCAAGATTTTTCGTTTTAAATAGAATAAGGGTTAAATGATAACTTGACTTATCTTTTACGTGACAAAAAATAAAGAAATTGCAAGACCTTTTCACATATTAGATATGTATTGTCATTTATCATCTAGATATCAGGGTAGTAGTGCGAAGTAATAAAACATATCATCGAAAAATGTGCTATAGGTCTGAATCACTCTTTCATTCCACCTCCCAGCTAACTGTAGTATTAAATCAAACAAGCAGAACATTTCCTTAGGCAGCCATTGCCTTTTAATTTCCTGAAGAACCTTAAAATATCATTCATTACAAGTACTACACATATTTGGTTTTTAAAAGTCTCATAAATCAATAGCAGGCTGACTGTAATAATTATTACAAGTTAGTGCATAATTTTCGTGCTGAAGGCTGCATGAAGAACTTTAGCATATGCAAACGAGGCAATTCAAACTGTGTATAGATATTAATATGAAGAAGCAGGTAACGAGGTGCAGGCTATGAATTATGCATCAAGCGCGGCTGATCTTCAATGAGGAAAATGAATTCAGCATGTAATCTAATTAGTGATGGAAGTCTATTACATCTAACTGCAAAAGCAACCGTCCTTGAAACAAATTTATTTACAGTCCATGTTACCAATTGAAACAACTTTGAAATGATGTGTAAGACAACAGCTTAATTGTAAAGTTGTTTTGTTTTTTTTCCGTTCAGTTCCAGACCCGGACGGCCTCCTAAGCGGACACAGAGTGTCACCTCTCCGGAGAATTCCCACATCATGCCACATTCTGTCCCTGGTCTCATGTCTCCTGGAATCATCCCGCCAACAGGTAGGAGTCTCATGGACTATGTAGCTGCACCTTTTCATTCCATAGAACTTCTATTACATTAATGTCATCTACTGAAAATGTCAGGCCTCCAATTTTTATTTAGACGCACCGATCATTTTGTTATCTCCTACAATAGGTTCTTCCCTCTTCTCAATAGAAAGCATTTATTAGCTCACGTATATTTTAATCATGTTGCAAATGCTCACGGGCCAAGAATATATGAACAAGACGCTGGGTTTGTAGTTTTCCAGAACACTGGTAAGGCCTCCTTCAGTTTAGCAATAGAAGAAGCCAGCTTGCGATCACTTTGTATGCACTACATGTAACTCAGACATAGTGTGTACTAAAGCAGTTGCCACTACTGATTACTATTACAGAATTCTGGAAGTCAGTAAACTTTCAGGAAATTCATTTATCTGTCTTTAGAAAAACATGCTACTTTGGAAATAGCTCATTGGATATAACAGCTGCACGCTTTAAGTAGCAATTTCCTTTTAGATGGCACCTAAACATCCTTCCAGAATTTTGCTAATGTCAGTCATGTGGCAATTACTATTTTAAGCAAATGTGCATATAAATTAAAAAAATGAAACGGCTTTGTTTCAGTCTTGAGAATTGCAACCTGTAAAAGTCTCTCTTTGACATTGGAGGGTGGGGGGCTTCCTGCATGGGGTGGAATGAGTGCAGAGAGCTGCTGGGTGTGGGAAATTTGAATGGACTCAGTGGACTAACCATGTTTGTGTGGATGTACAGAACAATGGAAGATAGAAGCTTGTTGGTCTTCCTAAGATAACATAGCCCTGTTGTCCTCTGTCCGCTTTAGTTACTTGAAGGGCTTCATTTTTTTTCCTTCATCACCACACTTTGTAGTTTCACTTCTTAAATACTTAACAGGTTCTTTGGAGTCTTTTAGTGATTCCAGGTGAGTAAAGAATGCATTTCCTGGAGTGCAGTGAGGGAGGGAAAGAGAGAAAAGAAAGAAATCAAGAAAATGTGTCAGAAACAAAACATAGTGAAATAAACATGCCTTCTCTTTCCTTACTCATTTATTTATTACATTTCTGTCCCACCTTCTTTTTGCCAAGGTTTCCTGTGCTGCTTCCATGGACCCCCTTCTCCTCGATTCTATTTCATTGTCACAAGAACCCTGTGAGTTAGGTCAGGCTGAGCATTACTGACTGGCTCAAAGCCTCCTAGTCAGCTCCATGGCCAAGTGAGGACTAGAAGTGGATCTCCTGAGTCCTAGGCCAAGAGGTACATAGGGCAAAATGAGAGTTGGAGTAATACAGAGTAAGTGAAAGGAGTGACATCAACAGTGAACGAAGTGTGAATAAATAATATTTATATAGTAGTACTTATCATCATGGAGCATTGAAACCAAGACAGGTGCCTGCTCCAAGAACCTTATTATCTAAAATCTGACACTTTTTGACAGCTTTTATACCTAACAGCAAGTGGCAAGAGAATGTACTCCCCCACTCCCCCCGACCAGATTTACAACCTTTTTTCAGTTATGCATTTCTTGGTTTTGTGTCTATATCTGTACTAGTTAAAAATGTTCTTGTTTACATAAGTGAAGTTATTGCATTTAAATCAGGAATGAACTTAAAAAGGTAGAAATCATAACTCATGTATTGGTAAGTATAAATAACTAAAAGTAGTAAGAAGACCATATAAGCAAGAGAAATGAGTTGGCATCGTCAAAAGTGCAAATGTATTGTGCTTGATATCAGGTTCTTAAATCAGATTATTATCTTTCAGAAGTCTGCTTTAAAATGAATGTCTAGATATTGGTTAATTTTCTAGTCTAATTTTATGCTAAATTTGCTGTTCTTAAAAATGGCATTAAAAAAACTTTCTGGCAAGTATGTTCTAAGTTCAAATCAATATTTACATGATAAGCTTAAATGATATTTGCACGATATTTACAATATTTACATGATACTATTTACATGATAACTTTAAAATACATAAAATCATAAGAGAAGGTATCGGGCAAAAGAAAAGGCAACCCTTCTGTTGATAGTGCACTAGAGATTGAAAAGGGGGGATAAATAGCTTTCAAATAGGAAAGAACTTTGCATACCAACACAGCATTTCTTTGAGGACCATGATCTGGTTTGCACAACCCATAGTTTAAACAACCTTTGGCTTGTTGTGCAAGCACACTACCTCCTGTGCAGCCGTCGGTTCCACTTTTGCTCCTGAGCCTGCAATTGGCTTATTTGTAGGTGTCCAGTATGTTCTGGGACACCAAATATATGGGTACAGCCACTGATGTAATCCCCAAATGTTCCCCAGTCCTTCCCTGAATTAGGGTCTTATTACTCTTTAATTACGTATTGCCATTTTATATAGTCAATAGTCAAAACTCTTTGGATGGCTGACAGAGCTTAAAGTGATAAAGTATATCCGTGAAATAAAACAGAACAAAGGAACCTTTACAAGTTTAAACCAAGAGGCAAACAGGGTAATAGGCTGGGAAAAAGAAAATGCTTGCTTGACATGCTCTTCAGCAGCAAAACTGGATCACTGGATCACTTTGGGGAATAAATCCAGCCTACCTTTATTTATTTGTTATTCTTGTGAAGTCGTGTCCGACCCATCGCGACCCCATGGGCAACATTCCTCCAGGCCTTCCTGTCCTCCACCATCCCCCAGAGTCCACTCAAGCTCACACCAACTGCCTCAGTGACTCCAGCCACCTCATCCTCTGCTGCCCCCTTCTTCTTTTGCCATCTATTGTTCCCAACATTGGGCTCTTCTCCAGGGAGTCCGTCCTTCTCATTATGTGGCCAAAGTATTTGAGTTTCATCTTCACTATCTGGCCTTCTAAAGAGCAGTCAGGGTTGATCTCCTCTAGGACTGACTGGTTTGATCGCCTTGCTGTCCAAGGGACTCGCAAGAGTCTCCTCCAGCACCACAATTCAAAGGCCTCAATTCTTCGGCGCTCTGCCTTCCTTATGGTCCAGCTTTCACAGCCATACATGGCAACTGGGGAAACCATAGCCTTGACTATACACACTTTTGTTGGCAGGGTGATGGCTCTGCTTTTTAGTATGCTGTCTAGATTTGCCATAGCTTTCCTCCCCAGGAGCAAGCGTATCTTAATTTCTTGGCTGCAGTCCCCGTCTGCGGTGATCTTGGAGCTCAGGAAAATAAAATTCTGTCACTAACTCCATTTCTTCCCCATCTATTTGCAAGGAAGTGAGAGGACCGGATGCCATGATGTTAGTTTTCTTAATGTTGAGTTTCAAGCCAACTTTTGCACTCTCCTCCTTCACCTGCATCAAGAGGCTCTTTAGTTCCTCTTCACTTTCTGCCAGGAGATTGGTATCATCTGCATATCTGAGGTTGTTGATATTTCTCCCAGCAATCTTAATTCCAACTGGTGATTCATCTAGGCCCGCCTTTCTCATGATGTGCTCAGCATATAAGTTAAATAGGCAGGGCGATAGTATACAGCCTTGCCAAACTCCCTTCTTAATTTTGAACCAATCAGTGGTTCCGTGTCCAAGTTGTCACTGTTGCTTCTTGACCCGCGTATAGGTTTCTCAAGAGACAAATAAGATGGTCTGGTACTCCCATCTCTTTAAGAACTTCATTTTTGGGTGTTAATTCTAGAAGGAGTTGTAGGCCTTCATTGAACCAGTCAACCTCAGCCTCTTCAGCACCAGTGGTTGGGGCATAGACTTGGACTATTGTGATGTTGAATGGTTTTCCTTGGATTTGAACTGAGATCATTCTGTCATTTTGGAGATTGTATCCCAGTACTGCTTTTCCTACTCTTTTATTGACTATGAAGGCCACGCCATTTCTTCTGAGGGATTCTTGCCTGCAGAAGTATACCTGATGTTCATCTGAATTAAATTCACCCATTCCTGTCCATAGTTCACTGATTCCTAAGATGTCTATGTTCAGTCTTGTCATCTCTCGTTTGACCACATCCAGCTTGCCTTGATTCATGGATCTTACATTCCAGGTTCCTATGGAGTATAGATCTTTGCAGCATCAGACTCTCCTTTCACCACCAGATACATCTGCAACTGAATGTCCTTTCGGCTTTGACCCAGTCGCTTCATTCTTTCTAGCACTACTAGTACTAGCCCTCCGCTCTTCCCCAGTAGCATATTGGACACCTTCTGACCTGAGGGGCTCATCTTCCAGCGTCATATCCTTTTGCCTTTTGGTACTGTCCATGGGGTTTTCATGGCAAGGATACTGGAGTGGGTTGCCATTTCCTTCTCCAGTGGATCACATTTTGTCAGAGCTCTCTGCTATGACCTGTCCGTCTTGGGTAGCCCTGCATGGCATAGCTCATAGCTTCATTGAGCTGCACAAGCCCCTTCACCACGGCAAGGCAGTGATCCATGAAGGGATCTTTATTTATTTATTTGTGTTTATTTATTTATTTATTTAGAAAATTTCTATCCCACCTTTATCCAGTGGATCTCAAGACAACCTACTGAGATTAAAGTATGGATATAATATGTAAAGTATACAGTAAAACAATTATACCTCCCAGATATAACAATCAACCGTTATAATAGAGGATAAATAAAAAGGTTTGGTCTGGCACTGAAAAAAATACAGTGGTGGCGCCAGGTGCCACCTGTCTAGAGAGAAGATTCCAGGGTTGAGCTGCTACCACAGAAAAGGCCACTGGGTAGCAACTCTTCTTACGTCCTTCAGAGAGTGCTTCAGAGAGTGGAAGATCTTAGAGTTTGGGCAGGTGTACATGGGAGGAGACGTTTCTTCAAATTTCCAGGCCCTAAACCGTTTAGGGCTTTATTGGTCACAGTTAACACCTTTGTGGAGTTGCCCTGAGAATAACCTGCAGTACTCAGCCATTGCACACTGAGCTCCTTGAAGGATGTTTGGAAACAGATGTGTCCACAGATATTTAGGTAGAGTTTGCACTATTCATGTTTTCATTGTATACCTTCGGGCTTCCATATATCTTAATGCTGAACTGGAACATGCTGAAGTCTGTTAGCAAA